AATTTGGGGTTGGAAGGGTTAGGAAACAATAAAAGAGCTGTGGAAGGGTTAGGAGATAATATAAGAGCTGACACTGTAACACATTTAAATATCACACAGCATCTTAAGCAAATCCCTCCACTAAACCTGTTTCTTTTACCTTTAAGATGAAATGAATACCTGCATCACAAATTTGAAAAATCTGTAACTTTGTTTACTATAGTAATGGACACATATTAGAAATTCAAATAATTATTCTTTGACACTAGAAACATTTGTGTGAAATAAAACTAGATCATGGCTGGGGATACAGCTTAGTGGCACAAACACCTGCCTGGCAAGCACAAGGTCTTGAGTTTGATTCCTGGTACAAAAACAAAAACAGAAAACAAAAACAAAAACAAAAAAACCTAGATCATGAAGCATACCACACAGAAGATCATGAAAAATTTCAGAGTTCTAAGTGACACTTCATGATTTAATCTCATGTTACATTTATAGATCTGACTAATTTCTATTACTGTATCAAATACATACCTTATAGAGAGGCCCGCCAGGAGGAAATTTCAGCAACTACCACAAAGAAATGATTGCTTGACTTAGAATGGTAGTCAAGTGACAGACTGAGTGTTTTCAAGAAAGAACAATAGATGAAAAGTGGTTGAAGGATAAAGAACAAAAACAGGAAACATTTAAATGTTGATAGTAGGCAAAGTAGTTAAGGAGCTTGAAATCACAATGACATAGGTCTAAACCCTGACTTCCACTTAGTAGTTATATGTCCTAGGACAATAATCCATCCCATCTGAACTTCTTATCTGTATAAGTCTGACATTCACAGGGCACAGGTATTTAGCACATGGTAACTACTCAATAAATGGTTTTATGTACTTAATATGTATATGATTTTCTTTTCTTTATTTTTATTTTTTTGATCTTTTTTGAGACAGGATCTCACTATGCAGTTCAGGTTGGCCTTGAGCTCACTTTGTAGCCCAGACTGGCCTCAAACTTCCAACGATCCTCCTGCCTCAGCCTCCTGAGTGCTGGGATTACATGCGTAAGCCACCATGCCCAGCTCTGTACATGGTTCTCCACTCAATAAATGGTATACGTACACAATATGTACAAGGCTTCTTCATTTTTCAAGGCCACTCTGCTAGAACACTTCTTTTAGCCTCTCTTGAACAACTCAATCCTTTCAGTTTAATATCTCCTGGGAAAGCTTTCCCCCAAGCAGCCTCCAGTCAAATTACTTTTGTTGTTGCTTTGGTTCAGTTTGCCTTTTTCAGAGAGAGTATATCAGAATATGCTTTCCAGGCTGGCCTTGAACCCAATTCTCCTGCCCAAGCCTCTCAAGTAGCTGGGATTAGTTATGTGCAACTGTGCCCACAATAATTTTTTTTTTAATTTTTATTTTTTGGTGGTTCTAGGAACTAAATGCAGGGTGTAGCAAAAACTAGGCAGGTGCTCCATCCCTAAGCTACATCCCTAGATTTTAATTTCTTCAACAGTATGTCCTACTAAGCCACTTATGGTTATCTTCTCTCTTGCCCCTAACCACACTTAATAGGGAGTTCCTTGAAGACTGTTATCATTTATACCTAGATGTCCCCTGAAAGCCTCATGCACTCGTAGGTGGGCCTTTGGGAAGGTGACTGTACCATTGGAGCGTTCATCCAATTAGTCCCTTGTGAGTTTATAGCTAGACATGTTGGGAGGGAAAACCTGGTTGCAGGAGGTGAGTGACTGGGGTGTGGCCGGAGGGTTTTATCTCCTCCCTCTTCCCTTTATCTCTCTCTGCCTCCTAACACTATACCCTGAGCTGTTTCTCCTCTGCTACACTCCTCTGTCATGCTGCCCTGCCTTGCAGCCAGTCACTATGGACTGCAACTTCCACAACCCTCTAGTAAAAATAAATCTTTGCTCCTTACATTCATGGCTATCCAATATTGTGGCTCACCAACGAGAAAGTAAGACAAAGAGAAAGACAAAAGTAGTCATATTTATCTTCTTATCCTCAATTAACACAGTAAATACATAGCAGGCTTTGCAATTTTTGTTAAAGGTGGGGAAAACCTATATATAAATTTAGGTTCTTAAAAGGGCATAGTGGGCCACGGATATGGCTCCATGACACAGAACCTGCCCAGCAAGCACTGGCTCCTGAGTTCAATTCCCAGAAACCCCATCACCACCACCAAAAAAGGGGAGCATAGTGTAGTGCGCCTGTAATCCCAGCACTCAGGGAGCTTAGGCAGGAGGATCACTATGACTTCAAGGTCAGCCTGGGCTACACAGGAAGTTCAAGGCCAGCCTCAACTATATAGCAAGATCCTGTCTCAATCAGTCCATTACTCAATAAATCTAGGTTTTTAATAAGCTCTTCCACATTACTCTCCTCCAAATCAGTATAATTACACTTTAAAATGAGCAGATTCCATTATTTAGAAAGGTTTCTCTCTACATATATTATGCCATCATCACCATCCAGCCAATTCAAACTATTAGTTCTATTTCTGCATCCAATTCAGGGCTTGCATCACAGTAGGTATCCAATCAACATTTGATAACCACTCAGCAAATAGCATAGTAGGATAAAAATGCACAATTATTTGTGCTTTATATATTACCTACCAAGAAGGGCTAACCTAATACCTAGAGCTATTTTTGTTGACAAAGTCACCAACTACCTAGAAATTAAGAGATCAAATACTTGAATAACTAAAAATAATAATCTCTGCCAGCTGGTCTCCCTTTAAATTCAAGAACACTGAGCTGGGCATGGCAGCGCACGCCTGTAATCCCAGCACTCGGGAGGCTGAGGCAGGAGAATCCTTTCAAGTTCAAGACCAGCCTGGGCTACAAAGTGAGCTCAAGGCCAGCCTGAACTGCATAGTGAGACCCTGGCTCAAAAAAAAAAATCAAGAACCATAAACTCAAACGCGGGTCCCAAGTAATGCCTCATATTCCTATATTTCCCTAGTCCATCTATTCCCCCACCTCCTTTATCACTATTCTATACCTTCTCAAATTTCCAAATCTCTTTCCTCATCTCTCCTCTCCCTCTCCCTCTCATTTTCTGCTAATGTACTTGCTCTCTATTTCCTTTTATCCTGTTACTGTGGATCACAGATTCACAACCCCACCCTGAACTGTGGGGAAAATCCTGCATATCTTTCCTAAATGTTTACAGTCCTTGAACCACTCCCTGTAGATCTTTCTTCTGGCTTTAAATACTAAACCTATAACTCCCATTTATATCTTCTGCCCAGACTTCCCTTTGAATTTGTTTCACATACACATATTACTGCATACTGACATTTCCCCACTTGGAAATTTAACATGTGCAAAACTGAAAATGATTTCAGATCTTCCTCCCTCCTCTCCCCTATTACTCTGTAGTCACCTCTATTTTGGAAGGTGGTAATTCTATTCTTTAGTTGCTTAGGCCATAAACTTTGAAATCGTCCCGGACTATTCTCCCACACCTAGCTGCTCTCCCACACATGGCTGCTCTGGAAACATCCAGAATAGTCTTTCCAAACCACCTTCACTATTACCACCCTGATCCAAGTCACCCTGACCTTCAGCCCAGATAAATGCAATGGCCTGCCACCAGCGCTATTTCTGCCTGTGCTGCATTAGGTCAACAAAGCAGACAGATCCTTTCTAAACACAAGTTAGATCAATTCACTCTTTATTCAAAACCCATCTCATTCAAAATAAAAACTAAAGTTCTTACAAAGTCCCACAAGGCCTTAAATAACCTTGCCTGAGTATCTATTTCTCCAATGAGTGTTCACTACTTTCCAGCTAAACTAGCTGGTATGCTCCAGGTTCATGGCCTGTTAGTTCTCAAGGCTCTTTCTACATGGCATCTTTATCACTTTCATGTCTTCACTCCAACCTTTTTTACAGAGACCCCAGGATGTCCTACCCATAGCTCTGCACCCCCATTTTTTATTGCTTTATTTTTTTCTCTAGTATCTTCCACTATATGATATATACTTTGATTTTTGTATCAGTGTCTTCTCTTGCTCATCCCTAATGTGAAGTTCACAAAGGTAGAGACTTTTATTGTTTTTTTTTTTAAACTATTTCTTCCAATGTCTGGCCTATGGCATGTACGCAGTATTTCTGAAAGTAACAAACTGAACACACTCTATGTGTGCACAGCTGTAAAGACCCATGTCCATAGGGTCCTATTCTGCTCATTTCTCCCCAAATGGACTAACGCTGGAGACCAAAAGACATATTTAAATCTACTGTAAAACTCTAAAATTTCTCAACTATTAACCGTAGCCCAACATCTTTATTTTCAAATTCAAAACTCAACCAATGACTCTCACGAAAGATATCACAAATAGTTCAGACGAGATCTAAATATTAACAATTTCAAGAACTCAAATTTATCAGATGAATTCTAGATGGTACTGTAACTTCAGTTTCTGTTAAGTCTCTAGATTCTCATTACTGCAGACATACTATACTTTCCCACATCTCAGAAAAATCTAGAACCAATCGTTTCCTAGATTCCTCAAGTTTTAGGTATGATTATGTGAAAGCAATCGAGTAAAGTGAAAGTGCTTTACCAACAGAAAATGGCTCGTCAACAATGAATGTTATTATTAAAATGAGAACTAAGGAAATGTCACTGAGAGGATAAATTGGAGGAAATAGCTGAGTTCGGATGGAATCCAACTGCCCCATGAAATAATTATGGTTTAAGTAACTATGCTACAGGAAATGCAGGTCCTGAACTGAACTCCTGGGCTTGCGACCCGACACTGTTTCCTACCTTAGAGACAGCGGACTCCGCTAGAGGCACAGACCCGCCCCAAGCCGCCCGCGGACAGCGGTGTCTGGCCAACCCCCTCCGAGCGGAGGAACCACTTCACCCGCCTTCGCGACCGGGGCGCACTGCTCACGCCAGCCACTCGCCCTCCTCACCACACCTACCAGTCCCCCAACCCTCTTCCTCCAAGCATTTACTCTCTCACCGGGACACACACACTTACCCTGCCCGAAGCGCTGGCTCCTCCCCCGGCTTCTCGTAGGGGTGAAGACGCCTGGGTCGGGGCTCTGCTGCCTGACACTCTGTCCAGCCGAGGAGCCAGAGCAAGAGTCCAGAGAGCGTGCGCAGCCGCAGAAAGCACAGGCGCAGAGGTCGGAGCCTAGCTCTGGTGTACTTCCGCCCTCCGGTACCCGGCGAACACAGCCGACGGCGCGGCGCAACCCTGGAAGCCCACCCCAAGTCCAGTCACGCTTGGCGCCCAGAGATGACGTCATGGAGTCTCACGTGGCCTGCACTCCGCTCTCTGGGATCCGCCCATCGTCCTGGGGAGTGGGAGTCGCTTTTGAGCATGCGCACACCGAGCGGCGTGCTTACAAAAGTGAAACCTCAATTCAAAGGTTTCCTGTTACCTGAGTCCGGAGCTCGGAAAGATAGTCATTGGGGGTTGCGAAGGTTAATGTAACAGCTCTATAATAACAGACACCCTCCCTAAATCCTGATCGCAGCATTCCTCTTCCTAACATCTCAAAATACTATTTTTAAAAGGTTAGTTTTCAAAGTGCTTTCACATCCGTGTTCTCATTTGATGGTTTTAACTTTTTTAGAACGACGGCAGGCACTAAATAGCCGTATTTAAACGAAAATTATGTGAGTACTGAGTAGGTGAGCCCACCTATCCAACAATGCCTCTTCCTGTTTCTGAAAATAGCAGGCAGTTAATAAACTCACTCCTAAAGAGTGTTGTATTGGATCTATGCAAATTTTTAACTAAGCATTTAAGATTTTTCTCTAAACTATACATACCATAATGCTAGGCATGCTGAGTAAATGCTGAGGCTCAAAACAGGTTTCTGATCATTGGGAAGATAGGGAAAATTTTGGTATTAGCCACAGGATTCTTGCAATCCATTGGTGAGTCACAAAATTAGTAGAGCATGACCAATGTGTCTTAAATGAAATCAAACAGAAAGTTGCAGAATGCTTCACATACATAAAAGGTAAATATTGTTTCCTGAAATTTTTATTTCAGTATATATATGTTATACACTGGGTAGAATATGAAATATATTTCTTAGTAAGGGTGACAAAGAAGTTTGAAGCACATTCCTGGTCTACTCCATCTACTCAAAGCAAAAATTTCCTCTAGAATATCCCCAACAGTCAGTTATTATCCCTATAAGAAAGATCCTAGAAAAAAGTGAATCACCTTCCCAGCGGCAAACAAAAACGTATAGAATTTACTTTGAAATGTATACAAACAATAAAATGAATTGATTGGATAAATATGTGAATAACTGAGTAAAATACAATATAATGGTAGAATCTAAATGACAGTTCTCTATAAATGGCCATTTACTATAAAATTCTTACAACTTTGTTATGTGCTTGACATTTTTCCCAAGTAAATGCCGGAGGGGAGGGCAATATATGGAAAACCATAATAAGTGTAAGTGATTACATGGACTTAAAATCCATTTCCTTGAAGTTTTATAAATTGACCCTGTTTTCCTTTCTCCTTTTGTCCCTCTTCTCTCATCTACAACCTGTAACAGAACTATCCAACCCATTTTCTAAAGGACAAAATTTCAGATGTGAAAACATAGCTGGTTCTTCATAACCCACACAGGAATAAAAATTGTTAGTTCTTTTAGCTATTTTTCATATGCCATACCTCCCTTCTGAATATGGTCCAGTTATCAGAGTCCCCACTAAATAGTTGTATTCTTTCCCATCTGTTGATTATGGTCCTTAAGGAAAAATTTCAAAGAGAATTTTTTTAAATAGAGTATTTAAATTCTGTATTTGTTTTGTCATTTCCATTTGCTAACATGTCTTTTCTTCCAGTCAGTAATTCTGCATCTTTCTTACTTTTTGTGGAGGTAATATTCAAAGAACTTTTTTGGGTTAGCCATGTTATTTCCTCCAAGCCTCAGTTCATTTTGAGTGACTCTTAAGCAACCATTTGTCTTGTGAGAATTTGTTTATAAAGTCCTCTTTTCAACAAAAATCAAACACACAGGTCCTCCAAAATTCTGAGTTCATGCCAGGTATAGGAGAGCACATCTGTAATGCCAGCACTCTGGAGGCTGAAGCAAGAGGATCTCTGTGAGTTTGAGGCCAGCTTGAATTACATACCGAGACCCTGTCTCAAAAAAAAAAAAAAAAAAAAAAAAAAAAAAAAAAAAAAAAAAATGGTAAAGGACTAGTGCTGTTTTGAGAAGGATTCATTGAGCCTGTTATCTCAGTTCCT